TAAACGGCAATTGCAACGGCAATTTTGTTTTCTAAATATCTTCAAGATAGTTAAGGTCAATTCTACTAGACGTTAAGTTCTGGGACATTGTGTATATATAATTTGCTAAACTTCAAACGTAAATTTAATCTCTTTAATATTTTAGTACCATCGATATGTCTCATAACAAACTTTGTGCTATAAAATTTCCATCCACTTAAAATCATAAAATCTGATTTTATAGATCAAACCTATAATAATCGATGAAAACTATAATATTCTAGTTTATTACCTAGCAAAATGTGAATCTACAAGTTTAGAACTCAAAATTTGCTTTTACACATGATAATAAAAACAAAATTGTGAAAGACAAATTACCTAAATGAAAATTTACATATAATTGAAAAATATAAACCAGCTAATTCGAATCAAAAAGTGCGTCACAGTTTAAAAAAATGTTGTTTAAATAGCTAAATTTTAATATTTATTGATTAAGCAAATTATTTCTTATTATTAATATTTATTGATTAAGCACATCTCTGGAAGTTCATGTAACTTGCCCTAAGGTAAACTACCACGTACAGTATTCATTTTATACACTCATAGCCTCAAAATATTCTAAACAACTTGACTTTTCAAAAGATATTTAATTTTTATTAATTTAAGTTAATTAAATTATAATAACTAGTTGTGTATGGCATCTTGCCTTAAGGCAAATTGCTGGAACTTCCAATACCATAATGAAATATTCGAAGAATAAAATTTAGTAAAAAAAATTATTTTTTGCAAATTAAAAAAAAATGAAAAAGAAACTTTTCCTAAAAGAATTCGTTTCGTCAACACAAGCAGAAAGTTTTTTGAATCATTCAAATCAGTTGAACAACACTCCCGAAAACGTCGACAAAAAATTGTATCCACACATACACACACATATTTTTTTTTGAGGTATGCCAAAATGTTTAGAAACCTCTCAAACGTGAAGATATGCAAAAAAAAATCTTTTTTGATTCCCCTACGGAAATTTAATAAAAAAAAACCTTCTAGTGGTCAATTATATATTTCAACCACCGACTCTTGCAACAATCGATCCTTTACCCTTCGTGATTTCCTCCCATAATCAAAAAACAATAAAACCAATTATATAAAGATCTTAATAAAATTTCCTATCTTAATCAAATTCGTTGGCTTTTATCCACACATATACATATATATTATTATTTCGTCCAAGAATTCGCATGTCATAGGGCAGTAACGTAAAGCTCTTCGCCGGAGTCGAGTGGAAATACTAAAAGCAATAATTGCTGTAATAACTTATTCACGAAAGTGATTTTATACTGACCACGACGACATGCACACAATAACTAGAGCACATCTTAAGGGAGGAAAAGTCCACTGAAAACATGTAGTAAATGATAAAAATCCCAGAGAGCTCGGGAAATAGACACCGAACCGGGGGTTGTCAAAGGTAAAGGACACATGAAAATTGGTAATTCTGGCCAAATTTGTAATTGAAGATAATAATTTCTTAAAACACAAAAATCTGCTAAATTTCTGGGTATCGATGAGAAAACTAAAAAGACTGACAATAAAACTAATTATATAGATTCTGATTAGAATCGCGTGATTCTGATTAGAACCGCTTATCGTAGGCCTATAATATTTTAGTATGTTATTTCAGACTAGGAAATCTATCGTAATACCAAGTTTCATCAAAATCGTCAAAAAAATTCAATAAATAATCACGAGAAAACGTTAGATATTTACCAAGAACTGACCAACGATAGTCCTTGTTAATTTACATCAAATGACTTTGGAATTTTTAAAATCGGTTCAGACGTTTTTTTGAAAAAAACATCGATAAAAGTCTAAAAAGCCGTTTCTTTTTAATTAGTAAAAAAAAGTGTAAAATTTGTTTTTAAATTTCTCAACCAGAAGCGCGCCCAACAAGGCTAAAATGAAAAATTCCCAATAATCTCATAAATTTGTAAACGCTAACATTATTATTATTATTATTATTATTATCATTATTATCTTACTATTTCTATTATTATTATTGTGTTATATTTCATTATTTTTGTAGTATTATTTTATTATTCAGAAATTTTATTTATATTATTTATTAATTTTATTTATATTATTATTTGCTTATATTTTATATCAAATCATATTACGGATATTATTTTCATGTAAATTTTATCCTTTGCACTTTTATTTATTTATATTTATGTTATTATTTATCAATATTACTTGATGTTAATATTTTAACAGTTGTAATACTTATTGAAATTAAAAAAAAATCTCAACCGATTTTGAAAATTTAAAAACTGTTCGAAAGATATGAGTAGTAGAAATAGTGCTCTAAATACAAGTATTGTAAGTTATAGTAATGGGTCGAACATCGAAAATGAATTTTTTTGCATATTTTTACGTTTCAGAGGTTTCTGAAGATTTTGGCATACCTCATAATCAGAAAAAATTGAAGTGTGTGTGTGTAGATACAATTTTTCGTCGACGATTTTCGGCGCACGGAACAACCAATTTGAATGATTCAATAAACATTGGATTCCTATTGATAGGAAGATGTGCTGATTAGTTTTTGGCAAAGACAGGTCCAGCCGTTTCGGAGATACCGAGCTAAATGTGCAAAAAATGGAAGTTTTTGAGAGAACTAAGCATCCGATAGGAATGATTCAAAATTATTCTGTTTGTATTGATAAAACGATTGCTTTTGGAAAATTTTTTAGCTCCAATTTTTTTTATTTTCAAAAAAAAATAATTTGAACTAAATTTCATTCTTCGAATATTTCATTATGGAAAGTTCCAGCAATTTGCCTTAAGGCACGATGCCATGCACCACTAGTTCGGAATAATTTCATACATAATTTTTTTAATAATATTTTGAATTATAATATGACTCGACAAAGTATTGAATCAGTGCGTTATAATAGCAGATTAGATATCACAATATTAATATAAATGGTATTAGTCTAATCCAGAGTAAAGATTATAATGAATTAATAATTTTCAATGGAAATATTTGATTAAAAGATCAATAATAATATTATGATATTACACCAAATTTAATAATCAACATATGGAATTATATAAAGAAAATGGAGGAATAGAATACAAATATCTAAGTCTTGCATGGAAAATAAAAATTATTTCTTTAGAACAAAGTAGAAGCATCAATTTTAGTATTTTAATCTATGTTATATTTTTGGAATATTTTTCGGAAATTCTTGAAAAGCACAGAAATTACACCTAACTTTCTGCATTTTCAGCAGATTTTTTAACGACTACTTTTTAGTGCTACAAAAATGGTTTTAATATGGTAATATTACAGAAATATGATCTATAATGAAATTATTTTTATCCTAGCTAATTTGTAGAGATAAATGTATTTTTTCCGAAGTTTTAGAATCATTTTCCCAAACCAATGCAATATTGATATCACATTGAATGAGCAGATTATAACGAGATTTAGACCTACAAACATTTATATATAAGCAGCTTAATGTTCAGGTTTATGATATGAAACTGAATGATCGAATAAAATAAGATTGTAAAAATCGGATCTGAGTACCTACTTCTGTCTACTAATACTTACAGGGAAAATTGAAAATAAAAATATCGAAATAAAATAGAACACAAAGTTAAATTTTAAGCTTTTTTGTATTTAATTTTACCTAATAAATATAGTAACTAGTCACTATTAACAATAAGTATGTTTTAGTATACATATAGAAAGAAAATAACTTAACATAAATGTTAAAAAAATAATATGGCATTATTAAGTCTCGAGTCTCAGTTTGACTTATTTTTTTCAGGAATAAAAAATACAAATTATTTAAAAAATCTACGAAAAGCATTGCGAACAGAAATATTGTACAACGTACATTTTTATAAAAAGATGATATAAATGATTTAAAAAATTAAATATAACAAACAACGTGGTTTAGTGAACATTAACGTAATTAATTCTATATATGAAAAGACTTGCATATTTAATTTCTATGTTCAAAAACTGAGTTAAAATAAACTATATAAATTTATATCATTATTCATGACTGTTAAATTATCAATAAAAAATAATTTCAAACTTATCGAAGTGGATAAAAATTTTATACCTATTATAGTATTTTTGAACATGAGATTTCTCTATTTCTGGTTAATCTAGAAAAGACGTAGCTTTTGCAATAAATGTATCTTTTATATTTTTATCGTACAAATTTTGAGAATCAGAGTACCTTCAGCAAATATTAATATTTAATTAGATGTCGTCTACTAACAGGATTTATATTTGTGTTATGCCCGTCTTATATTATATAGTTTTTCCCGAGGAAAAAGAAACATCTCGAAACGGCCTATAAAGTTTATACAACCACCAGATATATAAAACCGTCATTTCAATAATAAACTTGTAAAAACATTTATATATAAGTATTAATTAATTATCATTCCAAAAAAAATTCTACAGAGTGTTAATTATTTCTTCAAAAATAACTTTTGAACTCTCATAAACGACTTCATTAACTTACTGTTAAATCTACCCTTTTCAGAAAAGTTTTTGAGAACTTTTAATTGCTTTCTTAAAGAAAGATTGAATTTGTAGATTTTGGGAACAGGAATAAAATATTAATGATAAGAAAGCGTTTTGGTATTAACAAATCTTGAATTTACAAAAAAAAATAATACTGGATAAATTATTTGTTTGTAGTATGATAATATATATGATAGTTATATGATAATTTATATATAATTGATGTGATGTAGCATATTGTATAAAAGAACAACAATACTCATTCTAGATATATTTTTCGCAGAACATCATACATCATATATTGAAAATTAAAAAATGATTTCTGTTAATTATAATTTCTCACATTTTTGTGATTTTTTGAGTAAACAAACACAAGAAACCCTTAAATATGTGTTATATTAGTCTAGTACTCAATTATATATTGTGCTTGTGAATTTATAGAGTCTTTGGTTATTTCTAATGTGTCTTTTTATTCCAGGACCTATAGGTAGTACATTGGGCTTAACAAATACAATCGGACAGCACAATTCGACATATGGTTCCTTATGTCGAACTTCCTGGTCTGATAATCAAATTTCGGCGCAAAGTAACACGTCGAGCTTTTCACAATGCACATCTGATGTTAAAAATGATAGAGGTATGTAAAATACATAAAATCTTAAAAAACACTGTTCCAATATGTCGTTACAATAAATACACAAGATATAGGTAATATATTATTACCGTTATCACCTGCTAATCAATTCTGCCACGTCGGTCTCTTTTATTGATAATACCTGTGCGATTAAACCGGTCTTAAATCAATTTATAATCTTCTTGGATTTATTAAAAATATTTCTGATTAGAATCATTAATTTTAGAATTATATGTACGAGTATACTGATATACATCATGCTCAGAAAAATTAAATTGTTGTCATAAAATCAGTCACAACTGAAATTAATAACAACGAGGTAATGACATTAAAAATTTGGTCATAAAAGGAATTTATTTTAGGATATGTGAGTATGTATATATATATATATATATATATATATATATATATATATATATGTATATGTGTATGTCAATGTGTGTGTATTGTTCAATTTTCATTTCCAATGACAAATTTCGTTCGTTATCATCGGATTCGGGCAAACCAAACCAGCGGACTCGATTCACTAATCTTCTATACGATTGATATACAACAAGGATTTAGGTATTTGGTTTAGAAAGAGGTGTATTCGAATATTATTCATGTAAATATTTTATTTTCAATATATTATTAATATTAGAAACAAAATTGAAAACGCGTTTCAATATGTTACTAACCAGTAAACAGTCAGAATATATACGTTTGCATTAATTTTTTTTAATATAATATAATCTATATATCATAAATATAAATGACATATTACAAAATTCTAGATTAAATTTGCTCATTAATTGATAAAACTTATATTTTTGCCTCATGCAGACAAAAATATGTGAAAAATAAAGGATTATTTAGTTCAGGGACGACCTAATTAAGGGTGAACCACTCCTAAGATTTTTTAAGTTAGACGTAAGAACACCAAGATTTTTTTCCATTTTTTTGACCATGTTTCTCATTTTATTTTTTAAAATGCATAAAGAAAAAACACATACAATCCGAAATTTTTACTCTCTTGCAATGAACTCGAAAATTATAAATAAATAGAATAAATTCAGGTAGAATAAATAAGTAATAAATAAAATAAAAGCATTCCTTTACTGATTACCAAAAATGAACTAGGTTAGACCTAAGACCACCAACATTTTTTGTAATTTTTTTGACCAATGCTCTTATCATTTTTTTCAAAATGCAGAAACAAGCCCTAAATTTTCATCCCCCTGCCAAAAAATCAAAAATCATGAATAAATAAAATAAATTCAGGTTGAAAAAAATTGCATTACAGATTTCATATAAAACAGAATTGAAAAAATATATGCTTACTAAAATATGTGTAAAAATAGAAATTTATTCAGTTCAGTTTAGACCTAAGTAAGGGTCGACCACTCAGAATTTTTTTTGCCATATTTTTTGACCAATTTGTTTATTTTATTTTTCAAAATGCAAAATTAAAAAACACATACAATCATACATTTTCAGCTTACTGCCAAAAATTTGAAAATCATCAATGAATAAAATAAATTTCCTAACTTTTAACCCTTTTACCATAAACTCTAAAATTATGAATAAATAGAAAATTAAAAAACAAATCCGGTAGAAAAGCATTGCATTACTGATTACCAAAAACAAAAATGTAAATTAACCAAAAAGTATCTTTTTGATGATTGTACTCGTCGTGGAAGTGGCAGAGTTTTTTGATTATGCATTTTGAAAAAAATGATAAAATAATTAGACAAAATAAATGACTAAAAATCTTGCTAGTCTAACGACTAACCTGGTTTATTTTTGGTTTTGGATAAATTTAAGTTTTTGAAAAAAAAAAAAATTTTAAACTTCAAGATATTTAGAATATTTTAAGGCTATACTAATTAAATTTTTCATATAAACTAAATTTATATTTCAGTATATATTATTATTTTATTCGATGTGTCCATTCCTCCCCTGTATCTCGGCTCCGGCTTAAGCCCAACTAATATATAATTTATAACCAATAGATATGATATTATTATTTGAATTTCTGTACATTTCTGTGTGTTGTGATGCCGACAACGGGTTCGAAGAGTAATAAATATAATGTTTGCGTTTGATTGTCCCAACCGGGCTAATCCCGTTTTATATGTGAGGCTTAATGACGAACTGCGCAAATACGAGTCATTTGTACCACAGAAATAATAATAATAATCATTTCAACAGTGGGGGAAATTAAATTTGAATATGTTCATTAGAAAATTGTTAAAATATGTTATACATTTTTGCGGTAAATTACACATAAGGCCTAACTTCAGGCATGTGTCATGAATGCATATCAGAAAGATGCAGTTACGATATGCATTATTTTGGAAAGAATGAAAAAAAATTTAGTAGTTGAAATAATAAATTAAAAATTACCTATTTATAATAAATACTAAATTTGTCAAACATAAAAATAAAGAAAATCTATCATAATTTAATCAAATTTAAAATATTTGAAGTGCATTAACCAAAAGTAGGTAATTGTTAAATATACAGTTTAAGGGGGTATTCTATGTAGAGCCATGAATTTTAGGTCATTTTTAAAGTGTCGTAAAAGAAAGCAATGATTGTTTTTACTATACATGATTTTCTTACCACTTGTTTATTAATATTACTAAAATACAAAACAAAAATTAGAAAATAAAAAAGTTGAAAATTGTAAAAACTGGCAGATGAAGTGGGCGGTCTCAAAAAAATGGGAACCTCAGTCTTGACATGATTTCAGCTCTCCTAGCCATCGATAATGCAAAAAATAAAAAGATTATTAATCTACAATGATGTCGCAATCGCCCGAAATAATGATGAGTAAAAAAATTTTTTTTCACAAATTTGCGACTGTTTGAAAAAAAAGTGTTCTTTTACTGTTTTTTTGAGTTTCTCGAATTTTTTAAAAATAGTAAAAATTGGAATTTGGGGATAATCCTAGTTCGGGCCATAGATAGGTCTATAAACAAGACTCTCTAAATATTTCAAGTGAATCGGTCAATTAAAACTCGAGAAATCGTGTCAACAGTGCTGAAAAAGTCTGTTCTGAGAAAAACGCATTTAAAGTTTTGCGTGAAGACAAACCGGTATAGAGACCGATTCAGTAAAATGCCTTTATCTCCCAAAATAATTCAAATTTTCAAAAACCTTATCGTACCTATATTCTTAGTTAAACTTTGAAAATATAAAATAAAAAAATTAAATTTTTTTGAATTTTTACACTAGAATACTCCCTTAAGTCATATTATTATTTTTGTGAGTCTAAAATATTTTAGAGCTGTATTTTTTAAAAAAACACACGTGTTTTCCTCTAATATAATCTCTGATTCGTAAATCAAACAAAACATGCGACACTGATAAATGCCATAAAAAATCGATACCAACGATCATAAACTGAATAAATACAAAGCAATAAAAATATGTGAATCAACATTTTCGAAATACAAACATGATATAAATAAATATTTTGATAAAACATCCATATATATGAATATATATATATATATATATATATATATATATATATATATATAAGTATATATCCATGTGTAGTTTATATTTGTCACTTATAAACTTCCAATGTTTTATAAAGAAGGTCAATAATATGGAAAAATATAGATTATAGTTTATAGCTTTTGGATTATGTGATAAAATCAAAAATCAAAGAGACCGACCACGGTTTATAAAAATTTCATATTTTACGACACTAATATTTTTGGGAACCGATCAGAGATATTTTTACCTATTATTACTTTTTGCGTTATCAGGTTATAAAATAAATGACAATCGGTATTGCGTAAGCAAAATTGGGTAAAAGATAATAGATTACCTAAAAACTATTACCTAACCACAAACCCCTATTTCGTGAAAATTATTGTAGTACTAATTTATAATTACATGTTAGTCATTTACCCTTCAGTCTAAATATTTTATATAATTTTGCGGACAGTATTGCATGTTAAACCGGACTATAATATGATATCAGCGACTGTTTCGAACAACTTTGTTAATGTTTATTCAAGAATATTCAATGACATCCCCTTAACACTGTGCATCAGAAGTCCCTTGACACGCCAATGGCGAACTCTAGAGTAAATATGTACACGGGGGTGTTTGTTTATTTTTTTTGTGGTGTGAGAGATTTACATAAATAATAATAGATTGAGATATGTCGTAGAATCTGCCTAAAATACTAGTTTTAGAACCTATAAAATATTTTCTAGTAATAGGAAAGTAGTTGTCAGTGCGAAATCAATTTGATGTAAAAACTTGAAATTGTTTTTTCTATTGACTCTGTGGGCTAAGTTTTATTATTTTGGATAAGTAATGTGTATTTAAGTTTATAGACTTATAGAGAGGTGTTATAAAATATCCAAAAATATGTTCACGACGTAACTCCAAAATGTCTGGACCTGCTTTTGTCAAAAACTAATAAGCACGTCTTCGCGTCAATACAAGTCCAATGTGTTTGAATCATTCAAAATCAGTTGATTCGTGTTCCTGAAATCATCGACTAAAAATTGTATCCATATATACACACTAGGGTGGTCCTTAATATGAACATTTTCGAATTTCCTTACTCTCAAGGGCTCAAATGGTTCCAAATTGATTAAAAACAATTCGCTGAAAGTTTTAGCACTTGATATTAACTTTTAGATAGTGCGCAATTCAATCAAACTTCGTATGGAAATAGCATGAAAAAAATTTTGAAAAATAAAAAAAAATTTTTTAGGTATAACTTAGCGACAAATGAATTAAAAGTGAAAATTCGTGTCATTTTTTAATGAAATTTCGACGCTTTGCAATTGTTTGAAAATTGTTTCATGCTATTTTCATACAAAACTTTGATTGAATTGCGCTCTATCTAAAAGACAATATTAGGTTGTCAAATATCTCCCTTCCGCCTTTTTGTATTATAAACCAAGAGCAAAAAAGCGCAAGGGAGATATTTGACAACCTAATATTAAGAGCTAAAACTTTCAGAGAATTGTTTTTTATCAATTTGGAACCATTTGAATCCTTGGGAGCAAGGAAGTTCGAAAATGTCCATGTTAATATCATTTTTTTTTCAAGGTATGCCAAAATGTCCAGAAGACTTTGAAACGCAAATATATACAAAAATTTTA